TAGAAGATTGGCTGGTTATGAATATACGTGGCCATAGATTAGTTGGTAGGGACATTCCCTGATATTCTACCTTTATGATCACATGCTGGAAGATTTGAGGTTGGAGGAATGAGAGAGTTCATAGCAGTAGGCTAGTACATAATTTTAATTCTGCGCGGATGGTAGGAGGCAAGGTTATGGAGATCCATGATACTTTACAATTGGTTAATGAAAGGATTATGGGGGGAGAGTCTTGAGCAAGGCAATCTGTTGGTAGCCATCGGCAGTCGATGTGGTGAAACTTAATACAGATGGTGCTGTGAGGGGAAATCCAGGTAGTGCAGCTTGTGGTGGCCTGCTGCGGGTCTCGTAAGGAAGTTGATTAGGTGGTTTCTCCTACGGACTAGGTTGGTGTTCAATGCTACATGCAGAACTTTTTTTGGGGGGCGGGGGGTTGAGAGGTTTAAAATTTGCCTAAAACAAGGGGTAGAGAAGTCTGATTGTTGAATGTGATGAGGTAACAACTATTTCCTTGCTCACCAAGCCCAATGATGATGCCCGTGAGTCGCATTTGCTGACTCAGATACGAGAATGGTTGGAGCGTGACTGGCATATTCATCTGGTGCATGCCTTCTGGGAAGCGAACTGTTGCGTGGACTGGTTGGCTAATTACCTCTTGGATCACTCGGAGTTGGATGGCGTTTGGCACTTCGTCAGACCACCAGCAACTCTTGATTTTCTCCTGCAGGCTGATGCAGTAAGGGTCTCCAGACCTAGAGACTTCACTTTAAAATGATTTCATCTTGGTTTTGTTTCTTTTTGCTTTTCTACTTTCTGTTTCTTTGTTTTGGGCTTAGCCCTTCCTTGTTACCAAAAAATATGTAAAGTTTCTATGATACTGTCCAATGATATATTGGCACAAACCTAAAATAAATAGATTTTTTAAATAGTTATTGTGATAATCAAATAAATTGAAAATACATAATTAATTAATAGTATAAAGAAATTTTATGAGCAATAGATGAAAATTAAATCCAAGACAATTTACTTTGAGGTAAGATTCAAATCATTTTAGTCTTAGATTGTTTCTTGCACAAATGCAAGTTTGCACATACTTCTCAAAAGTGTTTGTCAAATGAAATTAATAACTCCTTTTCTAGAACTTAAGAATATTCCTACATTTATAGTTAAAAAAATATTATAGTTTATAATTTTCAGACAAATTTAATGATTTTATTATACTTTCACTACCGAAAAGTACTGCTTTCTTCATGATTGGAAACCAAAACATGTTTCTAATACTAGAAGGGGAAAAGTTCATAAATCCCTGAGTGGTTTACTCTTTTATCACTTACACCCCCATACTTTTTTATTATCAATTATGTTGGGTCCCACACTTTGTCTAGTTTGATAACAAACAAGTGAAGACAGATTATCTAACAGTTTATTTAGTTTTTGAAAAGTTGTTGCAGGACTTAATTTGTGATGAATTATGATGAAGAAAATGCAACACAATTGTCATGAAATCGTGAAAATCGAATATGCAAGATAAAATATTAGATTTCATGTAATGGTTAGATGAGGTGAATCCTGATTATGCTTTGGGTTAGAATCTTTAAATTTTTGGAAACTAAGAAAAGAAGATTTAAAAGTTTTATTTTTAATCCAAATAGATTTTTAAGATTTGATTTTTGATTTGAAAAAAAAAAGTTAATTTGAGATTGATTTCCTTTTTAAAAGATTTGATTTGATTTTATATATTTTTGGAAAGTTATTTTGAAGATTTTGATTTTATTTTCAAAAAAATATTTTGAAAAGTTTTCTTAAAAATCATGATGATCTTTAGATTTTTCCTTAGTAATTGATTTTGAGAAAAAGTTTATAAATATCATACCTTGAGCCCTTGTTCAAAATGTGAGTGAGCATTCAAGAGAAAAAGGCTTTTAAGCATTCAAGAGAAAAAGATTTTTTCTGAGCATTCAAGAGAAAAAGATTTTTGTGCATTCGAGAGAAAAAGCGCATTGAGCATATTATGAGTATTTCTTGTTAATGTGTATTCAAAATAATTTGGGAATAAAGGCATGAGCAGATTCATTGAGTCCCTCACTTAGGTTTTATTTGTACCTATTTGCTTATTATTTAGAAGTGTGTAAGGCAACCAATTTTAATTGCATTTTCTTCTTGACCATGGAAAATGTCGTGGCTTAGAAATAAGTCAGTCTTTATTTATTGTGAATAGAGATGTGAGTTGTTTGGCTTCTAAGAGTCTTTGATTAGACATCGTTCTTTTTTACCTTGAAAAAGGTCGTGACTTAGAAATAAGATGGTCTTTATTGTGAATAAAGATGAGAGCTGTTTGGCTTCAGAGAGTCTTTGATTAGACTCCGTGAGAATCCTAAAGGTAGGGTTCAGAAAACCTAGGGTAAGGTTTCAGGTTAATTCTTATATGAGGGTAGAATAAGCTCTATTCTTGTATTTTGAATTGATCAATAGTGGATTTGTCTCGCAATTGTATAAAGGTATCTGAATTGGGATGTGGGTTTTCTTTTTCCTCTAGTTGGAATTTTTTCCACGTTAAAATAATTGTATCTCTTCTTCCTTTACTCTTTATTTTATCTCAATTATGTGTGTTTTTGAATTGCAAATTTTTCAATAAACTTAATTCACCCCCCTCAAGTTCATCCAGAACCAACAAATTACATCCATGTGGTTTTTTTCGGTCCAAATCCATCTTTAACACCGTTAGTAACTGAACTAACTTACCCAATTTTATGTTTGGAGTTTCACTGATTTTTTTTTTCTTTCGTGTGTCATGTCCCTCCATTGAGGCACTTTCAGAACATAGCCTTCCTTATCCCTCATTTTCTACTTTTGCTGCTCAACTTTTTCTACCGGTCTATTGTTGGAAGTTTGAGTCAATTGACTAATTTCATAATTATTATTTTTTTTTGCATTACATGAGAATTGAATACACACCACTACACTACATGCACCTAACACACACACCCCACACCACTAGGCTAATCCTAGTGGATCTAATTTCATAATTTTTTTTTGAATACAATCTAATTTCATAATTTTAGTACTGCATACATGAACCCAACCTAAAAAGTAAAAAGAACTCAAGCAACTTACTTGAATATAGATAGGAATGGATTACCATGCAAAGTCATTCTACGACACATCCACATAATCAAGCCACAAGAGATTCATCCATGATAGAATTAGAATGCATACACCCACCAAGCAGCCAAATAATAATAACAATAACAAATACAATGGCAAGATTTAAAATTAGTCACGGAGAATACCATTCAATTACATTAAACAATTTACTTTCCTATGACGTACTTACTTTGGGTGCCATTACATACAATCCCATCAGAAACAAGAAGTGATAGTGGTAGTGAAAAAAGGGAAAGAAAGAAACCATGCGTAAAATGGTAGAAATCAAATCTTTAGATAAGTGAAAACAAAATAGAGATAAATTGAGCAAGTTAATTCAATTACTAACGGTATTAAATGTGGACTTAGATGGAAAAATATCACATGGTAATTGATAATATATATATATATATATATATATATATATATATATATATATGGGTCAGGATCATTTTACACCAGTGTAAGTTAGAGTGTAAGACTTCTAAGTGGATCAAATATATATATAGGAGTGTAAGTGATAAAAGAATAAACCACATAGGGGCTTTTTGAATTTTTTCCTACTAGAAAATATACTCCTTCCATTTTTTTAATGTCATTTTACAAAATATTATTTTTCTTTTTTTACCTATCCCTTTAGAAAATCAATGAAGCACTACTTTTATTTTTATTTTTATAATAGCTATAGTTTATTTTTAATAAATGTGAGAGAAGAATAATAATAGAGTAATAATAATGTTCTGAGCAGAAAATTGCTAAGAAAACACTCCACTGCATGAGCGAAGCAGGTTTCTAGCCATTTTCTAATTGAACTTGGTTATCGATTATTAATATAAAAATATCACCGTTGATGTTGCTCAAACTTTAACATCAAACCCATTTGGTAATTCAATCAAATATAGTTATTTTTTGTTTACAATTAATGTCTGATATAAAAGATCAATATTTCTCTATGACCTGTAAATAAGGTTATTAGCAAAGGAGAAGATGCGATCATTACGGTAACAAATCAATTAATATGAAGGTCATGAAGCAAAAATGTGGTGCATACGCACAATGGCCATGAAAGTTGGGGGTTTCAAAAGTGTATAACTAAGGGTGCCTTTAGTTATTGGGTGCGTCAGTTGTTACAGGACATCCTGCAATGATTTTTAAGTATGTATTCTTGAGAATATATAGTTAAAATATTAAAGTTATTTTTTCTCTCTCCTCCACATCAACAACTTTAATATTTTAACTATGTACTTCTAGGAGTATATAATTAAAAAACGGTTGCAGAACAAAAAACTCATACCTACATCATAATACTTATATTTCCCTTAGTTATTTATAGGATATGATTACTTGGAATATTTATGTAAGATAGCTTCTTCTTTTCTTTTTTTTGTTTGAGATGTTTCATCTCTTCTTCTTTTTTCGGTAAACAGATGTTTTATCTCTTCTACTTCCAAGTCTCATTGATTACTTCCACACATCTAGTTCCAATTCAAAAGCCCACTCCTTATCATCTATTAATGCAAAATTTGAAGGACAGGCACACTAGCGCAAAACCGTGGACCAGATTTGCACAAAGATAATTTGTATATAGTACTAGTAAAAGAAGTTGAATTTTCACCCAAAAGTTTAGATTTAGATATTTCTGTATCTATGGTCGTAAAACTTTAGAAACTTGCAAGGGTTAATACCAAAAATGGATAGGCAATAACAATATTTTCGAAAGAAATGTGAAGTCTATTCACATCTTCCTTCGAACAAATGTACTGGTAAGGAAACTGGTCCATTTTTATTTATTTGGATGAGACTGAATTTCCCTTTGCAACATAGAGTGCAAAAGCTTTTACCATTGACTCCAAATTGCTTGCTAAATGCTACATTCACAACTCTGCACAATTGTACATGTGATTCCAGCTTAAGATGAAGTGGTCACACATAGTTGATATTTCCTGTTAGACTAAGTATGCAGCCACACCTATAGCAGTTCACACTGCAAAGTTATGATCACAAAAGTTGTCTAAAAAGCATTATTTGGTGAAAATCCCATTACAACAAACCAAACCACCACCAAAATGGGGGCGAGCAAAATTCCTTTCTGCTATTAAAGAATGTAAATTTGCTGATGTTGATGAACTAAATTCATCAACTGATTCAATCAAGACTACACATGTTGTTTGGCACATGGACAAAGACCTTCATAAAATAACTACTTGGCCTCTTTTCATCCAAGGAAGATATAGAGAATCACAATCCAACTAGTCCAAGCTCAAGTTAAATGGTGGAGACTATTACAGCATCTTTGTCCATGTGCCCAAAAATGGAAAAATAGCAATAAGCAATCGCAACAGCAAAGGAGTGTCACTTTTTCTTTCTCTCCTACTCAACCTACCAGCTTCCATAGGCATACTTTGTGACCCATCCATCACACGAGATGACCTTGGTGCTGGTCTAGATCTCTCCAAGTCATCCCATCCACCAAAATTCGGCGCTTTTCGGCTGCCCATATCAGCTGAACCATTATTCCCAACTACCCATGACTGGTAGCCTGTCTTCCCCTTTCTAGTTTTCTGGTTTTCTTCAGGTTCCTCCTTAACTCTTGCGCCATTTGTGGTGCTGGGTTTTCTCCTCATCCTGTACTTGCGTTTTGGTTTGCTCTCGGACCGTCCCCATAATTTCTCAAATGCTAGTGAAAGTGCTGACTGACCAAGGGGAAGTGCTAATGCCATGAGGAAAGCTTTTGGGCCACTAGATACCAACCATGAAATGAGAATGATAGGCAGCATCCAACCATAGGATTTGAAAACCTGCACTGAGAAAAATGAAATACATTGTAACATCTCACACCAACAAAAATGTCTAATGCATATGTAGATGCAATTAAGATGCTGTAAGTTTTCAGAACCGTAATAATTGACAACAGATTGCCACAAAAATTCTAGCTGGTTACTTCATAAACATTATGCAGTGTATTATGCTTTTACACAATACCTCATCGATGGCCGATATCTTCATAGAGTAGAACAAATTACGTAAGTGATATAAACTGATCATAAATAAAATGGGAAGAAACTAGACAACAGTTACTTCATGAAACTTTTAGAGCTTTCAATACATCAGATAATAAGATAAGAGTTATACACAACTTTACAACCAGCATTATTAAGGATACTAAAAGCAACAACAAATATATAGCATTATAGCACCTTACTTAAAATAAGGGACATTTACTCTTATGAACCAATTATCCCAAAAGCTTAAACTGTTAGGTGAAGACAGATGAACCCCCTCACATAAGAGCCAATAGGTTTGAAGGGTGAACAACGCACAGGCCTACCTACCTATGCTATGAAATTCCACAATTAAATATTTATTGGAAGAATGGGGTGCAAGGATCAAACTCAAGATCACTTGGTCACAAAGGTTCTGATACCATGTTAAGCAACCAACTCTCCCAAAAACTTAACAGGAGGTAACCTTAAATCTGTGCCTACCTAGTGGACCTACTACCCAACAACATCAAAGTTTTGTGGAAAGACGTGCTCTACAAGGTTTTCAGTCTCTCTTGCCATGACGTCCCTCTAGCACTAGTCCCAGCCTCCGGTATCCGTACCAACCATGTTCTATCCGGTCTTCGATGACCCTTCGCTGTCGGCCGCTGTTGACCACTGTTTTGGAAAATTTTCTGAAGGGTTTCGGCCGAACACCCAGCGATCTAGGTCGCCTTCTGATAGGGCCCAATTACGCAAGACCCAAGTTAATAAGGTGTATGTGAGAGACAAAGGTAGGAAATACTGGTATGATTCCACTCAATCTGTTATTGCTGAGTCAGATATTCTGTTAGAGGAAAAGAAGGTCCTATGCGTTGCTAGTTAGGATGAGATTATAATTAGGGGGAGGCATGAGAAGAAAAGGCACCAAGGAGGTCAACGTTAGTGAGGGAAAATTCTTAGGAGATTTGCAGGGCGTCTCAAAAGACCCTGAATTGTTGCTTTCTGTTTGTTATTTTCTTTAAAACTTACTATGGAGAACCATCTGTGATGTTTTCTGGTGTGACTGAGAAATATTAATATAGGTGTTATTCAGTATATTTTGTGTTGTTTTTTTGCTTTGATTCGTATCAATTTGGTATCAAAGCTCCGTCTGGGAGCTGGGTTATGGTGTGGACGAGAAGTATGGAAGGAATGGAAGAGAGGTTATTATCCCAAGATTCTTTACATGGTATCAGAGCCTCGCCGCCTCCCACTCTCTCTTGTGGCGTTTCTTAGCACAGGTAGGCTGGGCCTGTTGCATTGTCCACTCTTCAAGCCCAATGGGCTCTCGTGTGAGGGGGCGTGTTGAGATATATAGTCCCACATTGGTTGTATGTGCAACTAATGTGGAGTTTATACGACCTTGGGCACTCCCACCCTTTGAGTTAGCTTTTGGGGTGGTGTATCCCAAGGTTCTTTACAGTTACATCTCAGTGAGCAAGGTCAGGAAGAACTGATGCGACGAATGGAAGCCAGTGAGGTTAATCAAGCTAAAATCCTCTGTCAATTAAGGGAGTTAGAGGCAGGACTTAACCAGCTTAGATCAAAAGAATTCCGAAACGAAAGAAACAACTAGGATAGAGGAAGAAGGAATAACGATTCGGAAGGGTCTCATGGAAGTCGCAGGGGAGCCAATTACGGTGAGGCAAGAGTCCATAAATTGGACATCCCTAATTTTTCAAGGGTAAATGCTTACGCATGGTTGAGTAAAGTGGAGCGTTATTTTAAGATGAATGAAATTGGGGAGGAAGAAAAAGTACCAGATGTGATGTTCGTACTCGAAGGAGAAGCTCTTAACTGGTATCATGGTGGGAGTTAGAGAATCCCACTGTGAACTGGGTGCAATTTCAACGAGAGATACTGTGTAGGTTTCAGCCGGAGATACTTGATAATCCTTATGGTCTGCTTTACTCGTTGAAGCAAACCGGCACAGTGGCAGAGTTCCGGAGGGAATTCGAAGCGGTGATAGGGACCATGACATATGCTGACGAAGAGGTATTAAAGGGCGCGTGGCTTAGAGGTCTGAAAACCAGTATCAGAGAAGAAGTTTTGATGACTCCTGGGTTGAGGTTGGCATCTATGATGAAGGGACCAACGTAATTTGGCGTGGGCTAATGAAAGGGTAGGGTATTTTGGGCCGAAAACTGCTAATGGGCAAGGCCAATATGGGTTATCAAAAGGGAGGGGTGAGTAAAACCTACCCGGTTCATTCTAACAGCCTGGACTCAGGTAGGAGCAGCCACACTGAAAATACCAAACCATACGCCCTAAATCGAGGTGGAACGGGGATGGTGACACAAGGAAATTCATCAACGAATCGGAAGGATGAAAGTCAGGGGAGTAATTTTTAACGACTCTTTAACGCAGAGATGATGGAGTGAAGACGTCAAGACTTGTGTTTTCGATGTGAAGACAAGTGGAACCCAAAACACATGTGCAGGGAAACAATTTCATCTCTTGATTCTGAATGAAGGGCAGGGGAATGATTGTGAAAAGGTGGAAGAGGAAGCTAACACTGTCTTGGAGAAGGTTCGCGAGGACGAAGATCTGGCTTTACAACTGACTTTACAAAGCATGATGGGGCTCACGTCGAGTCAATCCATGAAGGTTTGCGGTGTGGTGGAAGGCGAGAAGCTGGTGGTGCTTGATTGACTGTGGGGTGTCGGACAATTTCTTGAAATCGGAGGTCCTGATTGACTGTGATATTGAGCTGGGGGATGGGCACAAGGTTGCATGTAGTGGAGTATGTAGGAAGGTGAAGATAGCAATCCAGGACCATGAAATTGTGCAGGATTTGTTTATTTTCGACTTGGGAGGCGCTGATATTGTTTCAGGGATGGATTAGTTAAAAGATTTAGGCAAAATCCAAGCTAATTTTCGAGCAATGACTCTCAGGTATGTGACACAAGGCAAAGAAGCAATCATTAAAGGTGATCCGTCTCTGTCCCGAACGATTTTGTCCTTTAAAGCCATGTCCTAGGCGCTGTTGTAGTCTGGCCAAGGGTTTTATATAGTAAAAGAGGAGGTGAGTCCGAAAGATGTGTACGTTATTTTTCCTACAGAGTGGAAGGAATTGGCTAATTTAATTGATGATATGCAGCTATATTTACGGAGGTTAAGGGGATGCCTCCTCAACGGACTAGAGACCATGCCATCACACTGATATCAGGAAGTCAAGTGCCTAACTGTCGTCCCTACAGGTACCCACATTACCAGAAAATGAATATTGAGCAGTTGGTGGCAGAACTGTTGAGCGATGGTTTTATTAGACCTAGTATTAGCCCATACTCTTGCCCCGTAATATTGGTGAAAAAGAAGGATGGGAGTTGGAGGGTATGTGTGGACTACCGGGCACTGAATAAAATAACTGTCCAAGATAAATTTCCGATAACAGTGGTTGAGGAGTTGCTAGATGAGGTTAGAGGGTCAATCGTGTTCAGTAAATTGGATTTAAAATCTGGATAGCACCAAATTCAAATGAAGGAGGAGGATATCCCTAAAACGGCATTTTGTACACATGAGGGCCACTACGAGTACTTAGTTATGCCGTTTAGACTCACGAATGCACCGTCAACATTTAATGCACTTATGAATGAGGTACTGAAACCTTTCTTGAGGAAATTCCCTTAGATTTTTTTTATGATATTTTAGTTTACAGTAGGAGGGCCGTGGAGCATATTGAGCATCTTAAATTGGTCTTCTCAGCCTTACAGCAGAACAGGTTGTTCGCTAACAAAAAGAAATGAAGTTTTGAGCAAGCCGTGATTGAATATTTGGGTCATTTTATCACTGTTGAAGGGGTCAGTGCAGATCCGGGAAAAATCCAGGCTATGGTAACGTGGCCAAATCCTAAAACTGTGAAGGAGCTGCACGGATTTCCGGGTCTCACTAGTTATTACCGGAAATTCGTGAAAGATTGTAGGAAGATAGCTCAGCCTTTGACTAATTTGCTTAAAAAAGAGGGGTTCAAGTGGGACCAGGCAGCAGAGGAAGCATTTCAACTGTTAAAAAATGCTATGAGCAGTGTTCCTATTCTAGCATTACCCAATTTCTCTAAAACATTTACGGTGGTAACGGATGCTTCCGGTAAAGGTATTGGGGCTGTGCTGATGCAGGAAAATCGACCATTGGCGTATATTAGTCAAGGTTTTTCTACACGCTTGTTGAGCAAATTAGTTTATGAGAAGGAACTAATGGCAATTGTATTCGCTATGCAAATATGGAGGCAGTATCTATTAGGGAGACATTTTATTGTAAAAGCAGATCAAAAAAGTCTCCGATTTTTGCTGGAGCAAAGAGTGTTGAGGAAGGAACAATAGCGATTGAAATCCAAATTGTTGGGGTATGACTTCGAAATTCAATATCAGCCCGGTAAGGAAAATGTAGTAGCTGATGCTCTCTCGAGAAGAATGCAATGTTCCATGATTTCTCAGGTGCAATTACCACAGTTAGTCCCAGGTGGACAAGGAGGTTCAGGAGGATCTGCTTTTGCGCACCATTACGCAAGATTTGCTGCTGAATTCAGAGGCACACACAGGGTTTAAATTGGTTGGAGGTAGGATGTTTTACAGGGATCGTTTGGTCTTGTCCAAGGTCTCTAAATTTATTCCATTAATTCTGCATGAGCTTCATGATTCCCATTTTGGGGGCCATTCGGGATTTTCTAGAACTTATAAAAAGGCATTGGGTGTAGTCTATTAGGAAGGGATGAGGAAGACCATTCAGCAATATCTTACTGCTTACTCTGTTTGTCAACAAAGTAAGGTCCAAAATCTGTCACCAGCGGGTTTGCTGCAGCCCTTAACCATTCCAACACAGGTATGGACCGAAATTTCGATGGATTTCATTGGTGGGTTACCAAGGGCGTTTGGGGTAGACACTATACTTGTTGTTGTTGATCGACTCACAAAATATGCACATTTTCTAGCATTGTCACACCCTTATTCAGCAAAAGATGTGGCTGAGTTGTTTGTTAAGGAGATCGTTCGTTTGCATGGGTTTTCGTTGGTGGTGATTTCGGATAGAGATAGAGTATTTTCTGAGCAAATTTTGGTCGGAATTATTCAGATCCGCGGGTACTAAACTACACTACAATACGACTTATCATCCACAATCTAATGGGCAATCAGAAGTGGTGAACACGAGATTAGAGACTTATCTCCGTTGTTTTTGCAGCCTGAAACCCAAGAGTTAGCCTAAATGGTTGCATTAGGCAGAATTTTGGTACAATATCACGTACAAGGAGTCGACCGAAATGACACCGCTTAAGGCTTTATACGGTATTGATCCTCCACAGTTGTTGCGTGTGGGCAATAGTTTCTTAAGGGTGGACACATTTTCTTCATTATTAGCTGCAAGAAAGTTTATTTTGGATGAGTTGAAATGCAACTTGGAGAAGGCTCAGAATCGTATGAAGGTCCAGGCTGACCAACATCGAAGAGATATCAGTTTCAAGGAAGGGGACATGCTCTATTTGCGGATTCAACCCTATAGGTTGAAGACGCTGGCTTCTAGGGTCAATGAGAATTTAAGCCCCCGTTACTATGGGCCTTTTTCGGTTGAAGAGAAAATTGGAACAGCTGCCTATCGTTTGTCTATACCTGATGGGAGTAAAATTCATCTTGTTTTTCATGTGTCATTGCTTAAAAAGGCTTACCCAGCTGTGCAAAATGCTCAACCATTACTAGTAACTTTTTAAGTGCAAGGTTTCATTCTCATAGGGATGGATTCTCTAACAACCAAGGGATCAGGTCGTCTTTGCTTCTTGAATAAAATAAGTTGACCAGAATTTAGCATATATGACTACATTACCAAATCTCTGAGCACTTATATTGCCTGGTGAAATTTGAGAATGGTAGCCAAACTAAATTCTGTATGCATTGAAATATAACCAACTAAATCAGCAAGGCAAGTTCTTGCCTTTAGCAAGCCAACTTCAATATTCAAACTACCTAAAAGCACAGTAGCTTAGCTGAGACAATATTCATTATCAAAAACATTTGTCACTACTTGTACTTTATCAAGCTATGAAGGTTTTTCGAATAGGAATACATGAATAGATGATGTGAGGAACAGTTTCTTCACATAGCACTCAGCAATATTTCCTATTCCATTGGTTTCAAATTTGGAATTTTGACACAATCTGAACAATAGTATTCATCTTATGCAATACCTCCCTCATTATTCATTTGTTTAAAAAAAAAAAGGAATATATTATATAAAGCTTTAACATAAGCCACGGTTCAATAAGACATTTAGTTAAGGCATTACTTACAGTCTGTCTGATGATAAAATCAAATTATATGTATTCATATGTCTGCCTCAACTGTTCCAAATTTTAGTGTATATGGCATACCGTGTTCTTGTTTCAGTTTCATTCCATGTATTACAACAGCTGGCTTACTAAACAATATTAGTAACATTTGAAGTCCAAAGCAAAAATGCATGCACAACTTCCATACAATAGAGCCTTTTTTCTTTGTGGTAAAAGAAAGTTATATCCAATAAAGTTGCATTCAGTTCATGAATACTAACAGAAAATATGCATTTATACTACTTTATAAGTCAATGAAAGCCATTAGCAACATGCAAAAAAAGAAGAAAAGGAAATCAATAAATTACACCTATTATCTTGAACACATGCTATCTCACTATAACAGTTATCAATACAGAGGAAAGCTCTCAAGGTCAAGTCCTACAACAACTACCTGTCCTGATTTAATCATGAATGACAAGGAAACAAGAAAGAAACGCAAAATCTCTTCAATAGAGTATATGCAATAATACAAACATGAATAAGTGCATGAAGCTAGTCTTAAAATAGTAAATACTAATCATGAACTCCCCTTTCATTATATTTCTATCTATATCCACAAATTCTAAGTAAAATTCATTCTATAAACCCAAAAAAAAAATTCCAAACTTCCTTATAAATTATTTACATCTTCCACATAAAAATAAAGGGCATTATCCAAAACACCAAAATTGTAAGCTCACACTGTAAAATTGGTTTACCTTGAAAACCCACATACTATCAATGGCTTCTTCCCAAACTCCACTAGCTCCTTCCTCGATTCCTGGAGACTCATCTGACCACCACCTCCTCTTCTTCCCATACTCTTCTTCTTCTTCTTCATCTTCATCTTCTTGTTCTTGAGGTTTGCCTCTGGTACTATTGAAATTGAAATTTCTGGGTTTAAAGGTTTCAGCATTGGAATCCCAACGTGGGAAGTTGTTGTTGGAGCAAGATATGCGAGAATGGGAAAAGGGTTTTGGGTGAAAGGGTCGCCATGGACAAGTTTGAGGTGGTCGAGGATGGTGTCCGAGGAAGAACAATATTGAACACTGATGAAGGGTTTCCATTTGACACCCACATCTTCCTTATCTTTCTCCAATTAATTCCAAAAACTATAAAAATATAATAAATATAAATATAACATGTAAAAAATAAATAAATAGAAATCATATAAAAACAAGTGATATCAGGTTACATGTGTAATAATTCTTCTAAATTCCTATGTAAATCCAGATTGATTGATAGAATTGCCCACTATCTCATGCTGCTTAGAGGAGATATGAAAGTATTTTCCATTGTGATCTTTTTAGCTACGTCATAGTTATATACTTATATTACCGTCTTACCTCATTTTTTAAATTTTATGTAAGACTAAAAAAAAATGTTAAACTTCTTCTTATTTACAATTTTATTCATATATTTACATTGTGAATTAAACACATACTTATTACAATTTTTAATTCGGATAAAAATTGATTTCTTTTCATTTAAATATCGATGTCCATTACTTTATTTTTTGAACGTGTTATTATTATTTAGAATATACATACAAAGGCAACAATTTAATTTTAAAAACTTAACAAAAAAAAAATAAAAAGTTAAAAATGGAAACATAATAAAAGACTTCAATTATTATTTTAACATTAGTTAAATTTTTAATGTTGTTAAAGTAGTTTATTTTTATTGAAAAAAATATTTATTATTTTAAATGACATAACTTTATATCATTTTAATGAAATTACGTGTGGGTGTATTTTTGCATTCTTTCTCCTCCACTTTCTTTTTTTTCCTAATTTCATAAAGAAGATAAAATTTAAAAAAAATACCAAAACAACGTAATTTCATTAAAAATGACACAAAATTGTATTATTTAAAATGATAAACACTTTTTTTCTTATTTACAACCACTGAAATAATTATTGTTTGTTAACACTATGGGTAATTATACTCTCTTTTTTTTTTTTGGAGTTACCCAACCCTAATTATATCTTTGAGACGAGTTGGCTCCCTCTGGTATCCCCACGAGCTTCGACTCTTTGAGCCGGCTATGGGACTAATACGGAGTGCGGGAGAACAGTGATGGCTAAAGGTTCAGCCCCCTCCCCAAGAATGCATTCAGCGGGAATCGAACACATATCCAACCCCACTAACTCAGCGCCAAGTTACCAACTGAGCTGCACCCATTGGGTTGGGTAATTATACTCTTATGTGGCAGCAAAAATTTTTTTGTCTCCTATACACTTAACTTGAAGTGGGCCCAATAGGAAAGAGAAGAAAAAAAAGTAAAAAAGAAATGACACATGTATCAATGTATGAACAGAAGATAAGAAAATTTTTATGTTGCATAAGACTAACATTGCCCTAACCCTAATACTATTTACTTAAATAGAATTAAAATATCTACGAAAATATGCAAAAAGGAAGAGCAAAAACAACTTGTTTCCTCTCCTTTTTCCGTTTAGTAATTTTTCATTGATTAATTTTAATATTATTGAAAACAAATAAATATTTAAAACCAAAATTTTTGAATGAAAATATAAATAATAAAATATTTACATTATTAAGGAGATAAGTTAATAAAGGACTATTTAAGTATTAAAGTTAAGATAATTAAAAAGAAAGTATGCATAGATAAATTGTCAGGCATACTCAGAGAAAACTATGATAAAAGGCCATCCACCAAAAAAAAAAACTATGATAAAAGGCAACTAAATTTATTTATTTTTTTAAAAAGTTAATAGTTGCTATCAATTTTATTCAAGAAAATAATTATCAAAAACTTTTTTATTTAGCAAACTGGCCTCAAAAAATGAGATAAAATTAATCACATGGAAAGGTGGAAATTAATAATAAGACATTAAAATAAAATAAACTAAACTACAAAAAGTAAAGACAACTACAAATCCAAGAGTTGTTTTTCTATTGATAACCTTACTAGAACCTAGGATTTGATTTGATCTCCCCAGAAGTAGTGATTCAATTCTTGAGAATCACAACTCTTGAAAAGGATGGAGAAGCACAAACCCAAAACCGAATTAGGTAACCGTTAGGGCTTTGAACATCGGTTAGTATATTAAAAAATAAAAAAATAAAATAAAATAAAATAAAATAAAAAGACAACGACGAAGTCATAATCTTAAGATATTTATGCGGTAAGCATTTAAATCTGCTTTCAAAAGCATTACAATTCCAAGTCTAAATGAAGGAACAAACTTTACAATCTGTCAAGCCAAGATCATACCCAGAAACAAACCTTGATTTCCAATAAAACAAACATTAAAAGGTTGTATCCCAAAATAACAAAAAAAAAAAAAAAAATGGCATTATGAGGAAAGGAACTAAAATATGATATTTCTATGGTTAAAGGACTTGTATATTAACTTTACAGTGCATGATTTTGAGTTTTGTAGCTCAAACTTATGGTCCAAAGAGCAATTACTGCCAGAACAAGAAACTCTCAGGCCAATGATGTAGAGAATAGATCTGAATTTGGAGGAATACTAGATTACTAGTACTGACCAAAAACAAATTTGAACTTGGGATTTCACAGATTAAAAAGCCTTGTGTTAGCTTTACAACAAGACAAACCATGCATAATTTGGAATTATACAGTGTGAATTAAAATTCAAATAGTGCATGCTGCCGGACAAGCAAAACCAGCAGAAACAAGTCCAAGTTTATGCAGAAACTGGTATCAAATTTCACTTAAAATATATATATATATATATATATATATATATATGAAACTTTCAGTGATGCAATTGCAAGCCCTGTACAATAGCTTCACCACATAACAAGTGGTGCGCAAATTAGAGGTGCATGGACTAAGTTATGCATCAATGAATGAATGCTGTCCAAACTGAGAATATATAGAACAGGCTCTGACTTTGGGGGAAAAACTGACAATGAAGGAAGGACTAAAACCCATCAAGCAATTTGACCATAAGAAACATTAGGTAATTAAACACATACATACTCCATGAGAATTTTACACTAATAACATAGAAGCTTGACCCAAAAGACCACGTATCTGGAACATTCTTAAGAACATAGAAATCATTAGGATAAGAACGTTTGGCAAGGTGCAGAGCTGTGATTTCTAATTCAGATATACACAACATAACCAGTAATCAACCGAGCAAATAATCAATATAGTGAGCATGCACAATTCTTTAATTCCTAGATATAAAAGAAATTCAGTATGATTAAACCCAAATTAAATAAAAAAAGAACTGGATCAGATATCCTAACATAAAGAAATAAGAGATAGTCAATATAAACTACCCTCTAAAGTCAGAAACCCAGGGAATCACAAGGAACATTCACTAATTGGTTTCTTTTTCTCAGTCAATGGTGACATCACTTCTAGGTCCCAACCATGGTCATTGTGTTCCATATCTAATGAGTTTTCCTTGTCCATATCAGCAGGAATTTCACCAGCAACCATGTTCTGTACATATTCTACTATACCAAATCTTGTGAGACATTTACATACTGCTTGCTTGCCTTCTTGAGTTAGAATATATTAGGAAATAAAGCAGAATTCATCTGTACATATCTGGAGAATTTTCATCCGAACAAAATGAATTGAATAGTAAGTAGCCAGTAACACAAACCAGAGAACAAATCAAATTTCAATTCTAATCTACCAAAACTGTACACATCTTAAAAAGCATATGTAATCAATTAATGTTGCTTATCAAGAACCACTCAATCAACTTACAACATATTCCATTGTGGATAGACATTAGCTTAGCTCTGCTAGGAAGTTCATCCATTGAAGAACACTATCAATTTAAGTCACAGCCAAAATTCACTGGCAATGCATCACAAACTAGTAATGCATGAATAATTCAATTGTTACAGCATATAACAAACTAGTAATGAATTTCCTAGGCTTATATTAAAAAAATATAAGCAGTAATTTTACTAGAACAAATATGCCTGACCATATATGAATAGATTAAGTAATTAATTCAAGAAATTAATTAGTGATTCACAATAGGGAGATTCCCTGTCAGGTTTTAACATATGAAAGATGATGTTTCTCCTCTATCCTTCCATTTTGTGAGGGTACCGGTAGCTCTTAGCAATTGGTGGCCAATATTTAGCAAAGTATTTCGCTTATTTGAAATATACAACATAGCAAGTTATTTTTGTACATTTCATTTATGGGACATGTGGAATAAATATTAACCACTAATTGCTAAGGGTACTGGTACCTTCATAAAAACAAAGGGTAAGGAAGGAATCTCTTACGAAAGAAAATATAAAAGATTAAGAGCACATGTCTATATTCAAACTGTTAGTTATTATAGAGAATATCCTTATTTCATCCCTGCAATTTAAGCGTTATTTTTTATTACAGATTTGATTTGTAATCAGATTTAAATATAAATTCATAGGGGCCGAGAGAAATTCTCTCAGGAAATTCTAAGTATTCTAAAGAGATCAAGTTGGTATCTAGAGCTTCTTCTCTCTCTGGAAATGAATCACTCCGGCCACCACTATGAACAACAACTCCAGCAAAGTCTCCGGTCAACAAACTCAATAATGTATAATTTAACAAAAAACAAGAAAAAGTGAAGGTTTGTATATTACCCAACACTGGAATATTTGTACATTGTCCCAGTTTCCAAGCTCTAAATTGGTAATGTGGAAGATGGATTTTCCCCTTACACAGGTATTCTTGCTAGGACATCAACAACAAAATCATCATGACCTCACTACCTTATCCATCATTGTATGTACTGCCTTCCTGTGTGAAATTGACAAACCACTATTCGACCAGCTCGAGGCATCAGAAATGTCTACTTTTGTTCCTCATCTTCATTTTGTTTTAGAGAAGGATTTATGAAGGCTACCAACAAGTGCAGTGAAAACTCTATCATCAGGTGTTATGCCCATTCTCATCATCTCATCATACAACTCAAAAGCTTCATCTGCTCTCCCCATCTTGGATAAACCTGAAATAACTGCTGTATACGTCGCAACATTTCCAGTTATGCCCTTCAACAACATTTCATTGAATAGTTTCACTGCCTCATCTACCCTGCCAACAATACATTCCCCATTTATTAGTGATGTGTATGTATATACATCTGGCAGTAACCCCTTCTCTATCATTTCAGATTTTAACTTATGAGCTTGCTTCATTTTTTCTTTCTTGCAATGTGCATCTATTAGAGTATTATATGTAACAATATTAGGCACCTCTCCCATTTTCTCCATATCCCTAAAGATCCTCTCAGCTTCTGCAAGGTTTCCTTCCTTACAATATATATCAATAAATGTAGTGAAAGTCACAACATTTGGAGCCAATCCTTTCTGTACCGTTGTATTAAAAATCCTCTTGGCTTCCTCATATCTCCGCAATTTACAGAGCCCACTAGCAAGAATGCTGTATGTAAACACATCTGCTTCAAGTCCTTTCCTTTCCATGATAACTTGCAGTCTCAAAGCTTCATCTATCATTCCTCTTTTACAGTAACCATCCATCATTGTATTAAATATTACTCTATTTAGGTCAACTCCCTTACTTTGCATCTCTTTTAACAAGATTTCTGCAGCCTCCATTTGGCCTGCCTTGCATACACCATCAATTAATGCCCCATAAGTATGAGCATTAGGAACAATGCCTCTCTGTGTCATCTCATCAAATAAAGCAGATGCCCTTTTAATATTTCCTAACCTACAGTTCCAACTTATCATCATCGTGTAGACATAAACATCCATTTCTATTTTTCTTTCGCGCATTTCCTCAAATATCATTTCTGCTTCCCCAATATCACCAGAACTTGCATACCACTGAATCAAAATACTATTCGTAGCCAAACTAGGAACAATTTGCTCCTTCTCCATCAATCTCAGTATCTCATCAACGCCCCGTTGATCCTTTCTTGCAACATATGCATTCAACAACGTATTATAAGTAAACACAGTTGGTTTCACAATTCCTTTACCAGCCATCTCATCCATTAACTCCTTGGCTTTCTCAACCTCTCTCCTCCTACACAACACATCAATCACAAGCGTCAAAGACTGAACCCTGATTTCAATGCTGCCCGACTCAACCATCCGGCGAAAGAACCCAAGACACAAGTCCACCTCACCACATTTCTTCAAAGCAAGCAAAAGCACAAAGCAAGACCTCTCCTCTATCACCAAACCCTTTTCTTCCACATAATCATAGACCCTAAAAGCCTCTAGAAACAACCTGTTATCAGAAAACACCCTGAACAACATATCAAACAGCTTCTCAACAAAATGGGGCTCATATTCATCAACCAAAGAAACAATACCCGAAACAGGGCAACGAAATTCAACATCAGTAACAACACAATTCAAAATGCTCTTCATGGAGGCAAATTTTCTACCTTGAAAAAGTCTAGACAGAAGAATCACATGGGCCTTAAGGTCAGGTTTGTGTGCAATGTGGGGATGTTGGGTTCTGAGAAAATGGAAAAAGGCCAAGCATGAATGAGGAGAGAGAGAAGGGTCTGAGAGAACATGGTGGGTATCATGGGGAGTGATGCAGGAGATCATGGACCTAAGTTCCATAGTGGGTTTGAAATAGTTGGAATTACTTGAATTGATGATGTTGTGTGTTATCTTATTCACAAGTTGAAGTTGTTGTTGGTTTGTAGAAAAAGACACATCTTTGTTGAAATTTCTCAAAAGGGTTTTTTTGGAAGACATTGTTTTACACAGAAAATCACAAAAAGAAAAAAAAAATGTATTGAAAAATAAGGTGGGAAGGGAATTGAGATGGTTACAGAAAAAACCACACCTTTCACTTGATCTGAAAGAGCTCGCTAGATTGAAGCGATGTTTCACGCGTTTGCGATGAACAAGAAGAAGCAAGTGCAAGGTACACTCTCTGCAACAGTGTGAGAGAGATGAAAAAGAGGGAAAGTGTTCACAGAGTCACAGACCAATGTGATTTTCTTTTCCATATAGAAATTATTGAATTTTCTAATAGGTTACTAGAGTTTAAAAAATATTATATTCAAAAAAATATATTTAACCTGAATTTTATGTTTTTCAAATATTTTAAACAAGTTTTTACTAAATTGTAAAATTTAAATAAAATATACGGACTTATTTAATGATATTGTATGTCAAATAAATTTTATAATTGTTAAATTATTTATGGAATAAGAATTTAGTTACAAATTTTAAATATAAGAACGTATTTAAAAGTTTAGTAAAATTATAGATATTTAGGAAATAATTAAATGTTTTTAATAAGAGAAGAATATTTCGCTTTCCACATTAGATAAGCAACATTGTTTTGGGATTTAAAAATATAGAATATTTTATAAAAAAAAAAAATATTACACCATGAATTTTTCTAAAATGTCCTATATATGTTTTCTCCAAACTCCAAAACGATATCATTTTAGAATTTGTAGGAGATAAATTTATTTTGTATAATTAAAGAAACACTAAATCATTTTAACAATATCAAAGTAATAATTCAATGATATTATGACAAAAAATAATAGTTATCAAATAACTAGAGATGACAATTCATCTCGTCATGTCATATTTGTGTCTGTCAAGGTTAGACAAAAACACAAATACATTAAGGTGGTGTTTGGTTGGGAGCTTTTCAGCAGATATCTATGTTTCTCAAGTATGGCTTTTAGAAACACCATGTTTGTTTCAACGTATTTTCACTAAAAACCATCTATCCAATTTGTCTGGATTTATGAGAAACATAGATATACGCACTGTTTAGAAACTCAATTTGAAGGTGAGATTTTTCGGAAAACCGGTTATCTGGCTTTTAATGCACTGTTGATTTCATAAAGTTACCTAATTTTCCCAGTAAAGTTTTTCCCCACCAAACAACTTTTTTTTTATATTTTTTACCTATCTCACTTTATCTATCTTTCTAATTATTTCTCTATCTATTACATTTCCCTACTATTCCAAAAAAATTTCTTCAACCAAACGTCCCCTAACATAAGTACGGCACAAACAAAAATTCATGTCACACCTTTCCACATAGACACGATTTGCTTATTTACATGTTGACACGACGTAAATAACTTACCAACTTTTATTATATAGGTTGATACGATACTACACAATATAATTAACTTAAGTATTGAATGTTGTTTTTATTAATGTTGTGTTCACAATATATAACACAATACGAACAACTTAAAAAAGATTTATGTGAGTATTGATCAAACAATAATTCTTCTGTCATGTTAAAATTTGTCACCTGTATAAAATAACATGTTTTTATTATTAAATAAGGAAAGTTTGTTAAAATGTACAACAAAATTAATGTTAATTTTCAAAAATTTATTTAATTATTTAAAAAATTCCATTTAAAGACCTATGTTATGGAATTAACCTATCTAAAACAACTTCGTAAGAAAAAAAACCATCGATAAAAGTAATAATATACAGTAAAGTTGAAATTGATTTTCGATATTTTATTTATATATATTCGAATTTTATATTTCAAAATTATTATACACTCATAAACATCATTGTGGTTTATTCTTGTATTACTTACACCCTTATGCTTTTTTTTCTTATCAATTACTTCCCTTTAGTTTTATTCCATCAAAGTCCATCTTTAACATCATTAACAATTGAACTAACTTGCTCATTTTACCTCCTTTTTTACTCGTTAAATAATCTATATAAAAATTTTGGACACCAACCGTAAATAAATGAATTTTAGGTTCATTATAAAGATACGAAGAATAATCATGTGTCCTATCCCATTCAAAGCTTTCAAAGAATGGATATAACCTTTAAAAAAAATCACAAAAAAAATTAACATTCTAAATTTTGAATCTAATAACTTTTAAACAAAAGGGGTCTTATCTTTTATTATTCCTGAACCAATCTCCTATTGCTTGGCAAGCAGCTACCGTTTTATTCTATCATAACAATATTATTAACACGTTACTTATATTATTTTCTTATACTTTTATACTACATTTTTAGGTAATTATATATATATATATATATATATATATATTCAACATTTTTTCTATTTTTGAATATTAAAAAGAATAAGAAGTCATATAAAAGATATGATAAATAGGAATCGTTTCTAAGAATATAATATTAATATTAAATTATATAGATAAGAGGAGAAAGATAAAAAAAATGCCTTAATTTGCATATTGATGTTGGGGTCAACGCTCTCTAATTGGTTTTTTTTTTTAGTTAATGTGATTTCCTTTATTTTGTCACATTTAACTATAAATTGCCTACTGTGAAATTTTTCCAAGCCCCCTTCCAACATCTATTGTTCTCCCCTAAGTTACATGTTATTTTTTCTAGTCATAATCAATTAGACTTTGATTTTTAATTTTAGTGCTAGATTTTATTTTATAAATGATCAGACCAATACTATATGGGATGGCGAATAAGTATTGGGCCTCATTATACACTGTTGATGAGAGAAGACTTGGGGTTAGGTTATCCACTCTTTGGGTTCTTGGGCTGTTGATGGTTGACGATGGAGGGATTGAAATGATTCTCCTTTGGCGCGATGCCTCCGATTGGGGGTGGATACCTGCAATGACATTCCGACGTTCAAGTCAATATCAAAGTTAGACTTATGTTGTATTCTTACTGAATTAGATGATCATACCTGGGTATGTATCTTTTGTTTATATAGTGAATATGATGCCGCCTTTAGAAGGCGGTATAGTTTCTGATTGGCTATTTATGGGCTGCAGGTTCAGCTGGTGCCTTTCTGGCCTTATCTCTATTATGTCAAGCTATCTTGGTAGAGTTGTGGCAAGCTGGAGCTGTCCTTTGTGAATTGGTTCTATGGTGCGGTGGCTCCTTATTCGTACTTTATTGATCAATTCCTTAATTCTGAAGACATGTTTAAAGGCGGTCTAGGCGCGATGAAGCCATTGCGTCCCTTGACTCTTTACTCACGATGGAGATATCGCGCTTTGTTCGGGCCTTATGATTTGGGCCTTGATCTTTTGGGTTTTAGCCATTGGTGGGTCTATTGTATTTTATCCAGATCAGTTGCCCCCTAGCTCACAACTTTGGTAGTAAAAAAGTTGTGAGATATCAACGGTGAGATATATGTATTCTCTTTGCCCGGTGTGTCCTTGGTGCGTTCAATTAGTATTGCATATAACATGTCGAAGGACCATCATTACCTCGTCGTTTAAAATGATTGATTAGATGTTAACTGTCAGGAGCATTAAATGCCACCATAATTACGTGAGTGTCTTAATAATAGATGTGGGATGTTTTAAGTTTTAATCCATTTACCTTCTCCCCACGTGTCCCCTTTTCATCCGCTTTTCTCAACACATTTTAACCTTTTAGATTCTTTGTGGTGACTTTTCATATTTATACTGAGTTACTTAGTTGGAGGGAAAATCACTTTAAGCACCAATTTATGTCTCAAAGACGTCTTCTCCAATATTCCTTTTCCGATTCAGCTCTCTTGGTGTTGACACGTCCTGCTTTCTACATTGTGCTATCTCAAGTATAAAATTCAGGTATGCTTCTACCTTTGCTTTTATCCTACTGTTCTGTTTCATTGTTGTTTCCTCCCTTCATCAAGCTAGGGTATGTCTGATAATCGCAAATTTGTGAATTTTATCAGAATGGCCGAAAGGTTTGGTTCCACCAATCCTCCACCACGATCCTTCCCTAGGTGTAGGTCTGTAGGGACTGGGGAATGGTGGTCAACCGGCAAAGGTTCTGAACCCTGGGAGAAAGTGAAACTTGACCAAAGTTTCCCTTCCACACTTCGTAGGTTTGAAGTAGGATCTTCATCTCGAAAATCTAACTGTGGGACATCCAGAACTTTGTCACAACAAAGTTCGTCTCCTTTTCCCAAAGTATTAATACCAGATAGGTCAGTCAACCTTATTTGTATATCAAGCGACTCCAATTCTAATTCGAGAAATGGTTATGACCCTGTAAACATCCTAAGTTCTGAATCTTCTTCATCGCGCAATTCTTCTTCATCTATTGCGTGTAGTGAGCCATACCTCGAAAAAATTCCTAGTCTACTTCCATTAAGTGTCATTTATCCTGCTGGGTATCCGTATAAGAAACACAATTTCGACAACTTTAAATCTTCATTTACTAGTTCTTCTTCTACTTCCTCTACTAATGCCTCCTCTTTTGAACCAGATTTTATTCACCCAAAATTAAGGAGATCATGGCCAAACGTAACGCGGCTGAGAAGAAGAAGAAACAAAAACATGATCCTGAAGCGACTGGATCGAGTACCGTAGCATTCGAGATGCAGAGACTCTGGATTGGGTGTTAGACATCATGTTAGACACTGTCTCCATATACAGTTCACCAGGGGAATTAGAAGAGTTGAAAGCCGCAATCCATCTGACCCCATACAAATCACAGGATGATAACTGGGAATTATCTGTAGTTCCCCTAAATGAACGAGTGTGTTCATCGCGCCCTGATAATTCTTCTAGGCACTTCCTGATGATGTATGCTTACTTTTTTTTGACAATAGGAGTGTGTCTTCCTTTTTTCCCATTTGTTTGTAAATTAATGGCTCATATTCATGTGGCACCCTCACAATTGTCTCCGAACGCATGGGGTTTTATTAGGGTATACGAAATGGTATGAAAAGCCTACCATTTATTTCAGTCTCTGGAATCCTTCTTATGTTTGTTTAGTGTATTCGGACCGCGCTCTAGATGAGTTTCTTTTAGGGGAAATGCTAAGCATAAGTTCTGTGATTCCTATCAAAGGAAAATTAATAAACCCCAGAATATTTCAAGATTTATCCCGCGAAGGGTTGCCATCCATTTTTCCTAGGAAAAGAAGACAATGCTCCCATCTTTCCTCTATATTGGACATGTCATCCTTCAGAAGATCATAAGT